TGAGTGGTGATGATCTTGTCACTGCACTGAGGTTAGAAATCTGCACCTGCCTTGGAGCTGGGAGGTGGCTGAGCACCCCGCTGTCTCCTCCGGGCCTCACATGTCTTCCTCGGCTCCACTCTGCCATTCCAACACCTCCTTCGGGCTTCAGGAGCACTTGCTCAAGCTGCAGTGGCTCCCATGTGTACTCCTAAAAGCTACAATTGGCTGCTTATAATTGATTTTAAGTGGAATTTGGCCTCCCACTCCTGACAGTCTGTTCCAGCTAATCAAGAGGAAATGAATGTTCCCTCCAACCGCATGCTTACTGGCTGAACTATTCCCAGTGCTTTTGGAAGACCCCAACGCACACAAAGGCAGGGCTAAAGGGCGGTCTCCTGTGCCACCTTCTCAGCTTTCCATGTGTGAAAGACACTGGCAAAGCTCTGTTGCATTAATACTGTTCCGAGATGCGGGAGATGCAGGGGGTGTTGAGCCTTGTTGTACCTCCGCGTTGCTTCTGGGTGCAGCTAAACAGCTGCCTTTGGCTGATGTTGGCCGATACCTACAGGAACTGAGGCAGACTCCGGAGTCACAGACAAGCTCGTCTCCTGGCACAGAGCTTTTGTCCCTCTGCCAGTTCAGATGAGGATTCTCTTTTGTTGTGTGCAACCACCAGCTGCCCCTGCTGCCTGCCCTGGATTAGTCACAGAGAAGCCCAACTGTGTGATATGTATCAGCTGAGAGGCAGAAGCCTAAGACCTAAATCTTAAATAACAAGCGGAAGGAGGATGATTCCTTATCAGCCAGTGCCTGCTGAGGTCTTGGGATGGATACGGACTCTGCCTACCGAGCAGAGTGGCGTGCACAGCTTTTTAAAGTCACCTTCTCGGTATGCTGCTTAGACTCTAAGACTGGTTCCGGGGCCACCAGATCTTGTACCCAATGCCACAGTGCGCACGCAGATGGCGTTAGGAAGAAACCGCCATTATTGAGTAGAAATAGCTCTCTTTTAAAAAGAAATTTCTGTCTCTTAAGTTACTTTTCTTTTGTTCTTTGCTGGTGAAGTGCCTTGAAAATACGCACCCTAACCCTCTTATTACCAGTCTTCCTCGTGTCCTGGTAACTACACATATAGCCGAAGACATCCCATATCGGCTTAGCTCTGGCCATTTGACCACACACTAGACACTGGGCTTGGACATCTCTGTTGTAACAGACTCCTTCGCAGTGCTGGGAAACTCAGCATAGTTGAGAGCTTATTTGTGTGTAGCCACACACAGACACCATTTTATGGAAGGGTCAATAAAAAGGCTCTTAAAAGCAGTTGATTCTGAGTTATTTTGGTGGGGGGAGTGGTTTCCCAGTACCAGGAATCGAACTCACAACCTTGCACTTGCCAGGCAGGTGCTGCACCGCTCAGCTAAATCGCCAGCCCTGATTCTGATTTTAAATGCCAGTCAGAGGGCAGGATGCCGAATGAAATTCTTGGGTACCCTCATTTGGGGGATTTTGTGAAAATTACAGGTCATGATGTTTGTAAATTGCCTCGCATATATGTCTAGCACACATACTGAATTGCGGCTGTTTTTATCACTTGACATTCCCCACTTTTAGTTTACTGTAGGAATTTAAGGTTGAGTCACACTGTCATTAATCTTAACAGGGAAATACCATTCTTCCTTGAATGCTAGCTCAGGGCCCTGGGTGTTTTGTTTGCTTTTCTCTTTTTCATTATGACACCTAGGAATGTGTGAGATACGCGGTCTTACAGAGAGTCAAAGTCTCAGATTTGCTTTCAGATAAGACACCCGCATCGTCAGAATATGTGAAGTCTGTGACCAGTTCAGAGATTTATAGAGATTCAAATTCTGTTCCCCATGTGCCCGTTACAAATCACATCGCCAGAGCAGTGCCTAATGTCATATCCTGGCTACAGATCCAGCCGGTGTCTCCTAGTTTGGGCCCAGAGGTGAAGAACTCCAAGGGTTCTCCCTTTCTGTGGATGGAGTTCATCTCCTTCACCACCACCCCCAGGCTGGGCCCCCAGTCTTCACCGCCCAGGATGAGGGCCTGTTTGAAAATGTCAGTATGCATGCGGTGTTTGTTTCCTTAAAGGGACACCTACATATTTACTTAGACTTAGGCTAGATTACACCAGGGGAAATAAGCCCCTGATTTAATCAAACTCAAACCACAGGCACTAAATTAAACATTTCCAAGATAGTCTATTGGTGACCAATCAACCTTTATTGAGTAACTACATCCGGGTGCTTATTCCCTTTTTACTTTTCAATGAGATGGTTATTGGCTATTGTTCATTTATAGTTTTTAGGTATTCTCCACATTAAGCTTCCAGTGTGTTACATATAGGGAGTAGTAATAAATATTTCTCAGGAATCAAGACACATTCTAAAAGGGTCAGTGCTGCTAATGTATGACCATGCTAATTCTCTGACTCCTACTAACGTATTACCTGTTGAAAAGGACTTCTAAAGATTGATATATCATCTTTAGTAATTGTCATTTATTTTCAGAGTGATACAACAACAAATTGCCTTCTATCTAATGACTGCTATTCATGGGTGAAATGATATAAAATAATCTGTCCTTATCATTCATTATTTATGGGTAGTTGAATAAGGTGGGAGCTATTTTTAATATGCAGGAGCAAATACTGAACCAATGGGATTTCACGCACTTAGTGTCAGCAGAGATACCAACTGCCAAAACCTCTGATAAGTCCCATTTCAAGCCAGCAGAGTCTGGATAATACCAAACTGCAGTACAACAGTTGTACGTGTGAACTGGCAGCACTACCAAATTGAGTTGCCATTCTGGCCCAAAATAAACACTCTGGAGTTAAGCAAGGCTAAGTCGCCCATCTGCAAGGAATGCAGTAGGTGTAGCTGGTGAGTTAGACAGACCCTTTGGTTTGTCAACACAGCTCTAAACTACTGCCATTTCTCCAAGCCAGGGGTTGGAAAGGTCAAAGAGGAGCTTTAAAAAGTATGATAACATTGTCTATTGTTGGGGACATATGGTATTTGCTAAACAAATGGCAGACTGGATGATTGTTAGATGAGGTCTGCTCTATTCTGGAGCAGAGTACAGAGTACAGAGTGGCCCTTTTATCCCAATTTCACCACTAATTTCCTGTCACCAGGAAAAGTAGCTTAAAGTCTTCCACTTCAGTTTCTTCATATGTAAAAGTGGGAGAGCAGTAAAGATGCTTTTAAAGTTTCTGTCAGACTTTCTAAGACTGAGCGATTCTGGAAAGGCTCAGAGGGTTGAGGATGCTGGTTTAAAGAGTTATTTCTTGAGAAAAAGTTATAGTAAAAGTGATTTTCTTTCCAGTTAGGGACCTACTCATTATCTTTTTTTTTTTTTTTTTTTTAATTGACAAGGTGTCAGAATTTCTCAGGTCACAGCAAGAATAAAATATGGAAGAGAATTATTAATTAGGAGAATCAAATGAGAACTAAAGTCACAGAAGGGATTTGTTAAAATTTAAAAATTCATTCAGTCAATTCAACAAGCATTGGATTGTTAGGATATTCTTAGTTTTCAGTGTATCCACCTTTCCCCTCAACTATGAAGTGAACTCAGGAAGGTTCCACTCTGACAGGAAAATATTTTTTTTTTGTTTTGTTTTGTTTTTGTTGTTGTTTTTCTCTGGTACCGGGAACCGAACTCACGACCTTGCGCTTGCCAGGCAGGCGCTTTTGCCGCTGAGCTAAATCCCCAGCCCCTGACAGGCAAATATTGACTGCTTCACAGAGTTCAGCCCGACAGAGCAAGCTATGGGTGAGGTCTTCGTGAAGAGGAACACACCCAGTTTTTGATATGATGCTAGCACGTTTGTTTCTTTGAAAGCAGCAGTTTTTTGATGCAGAAAGCATTTTTGAAATCACTTAATACAATTATACTATTTAAAGATGAGGGAAACACGACCCAAAAAGTTTCCAAGTATTATTTCTCTTTTGATCAAACTGACACTGAGATATTACAAAGGAAAAATCTGGAATATATATTTGGATATTCTACCTACCAGTAAAAGAAACCAATGGAAACATTTTATAGGAGCAAATTTTATCAATTAAAGTTGGCTTAAAGTCAATAGAGATGATTCTCAGATTCTAAAATATTCTTGTAGTCTTGTTGACAGAAGTGTTAACATATTTGGAAAAAAGTATTGTCTAATGGTTAGTACTAACAAGAAACCTTAATGCACAGGAGGAATACCAGAATATGAACAAGAGCTGCATCTGTAGCATAATCCCACAACCTATTATTTTGCTGGGTTTGATAAGCTTCATTTCTCCATAAGGAAGCAACCTCCACTTGTAGACATGGTTACTGTTTATAGAAAGGTGTCGTGGCTTAGCAAAATTAGAAATAGACTAAGTGCAAAGATATTTATAGGTCACGCTTTGACTTGGGTCTTTCAGACTGGAAACACTCGTGTTTTCTCTGACATCGCCCTGCCATTTTAATTATAGGGTCATCACATTTAGAACATCTGAGTTAATATTTATCAATAGCAGTACATACCAAACCCTTCAAAATCCCAGTATAAATCGTTTCACACACCATCTTCACAAAGGAGGAGACCGAGGCCCTGAGCAACTTTAAGTTATTTAAGGCATAGAGCAGATTGGGAGTTGGACATCCAGTGTACTGCTATGCCTAATGTGTCATTTGTTCATCTTTTAGTTTTAAAATCCTTGCCTCATATCTACCCTCTCAGAAATGAAGATTATATCAATAATGGTCTAACCGTGGTACTTGGAATGAAGTCAGCAGAGACTTACTGACACGATTATGTGCTGTGCAGGTGTATGTAGAGGTCGCATTCAGATCTGATGCCCCTCAGGCAAAGCATGTTGTATTGGTCTCAGGACAAGTGTGTGACACTTTTACAAAATTGCCAGTTTCCAAACACCTAGAAGAAACATCAAAGCCCTGTTGGATCCACAGCCTAAGACTTACGGTGTTTGCTTGTCTGTTTCTCCTGATAGAAATATGAGCTCCGCTGGCCCTGACGGGAGGAAAGTCATGCGCAGATGTGATGGACTCATTGACTCCCTGGTCCATTACGTCCGGGGGACCATTGCCGACTACCAGCCTGACGACAAGGTGACTCTGGAGTTAGCCTTACACGTCTTAGCGGTAGAATTCCCCATTTGGTTCTACTAAGATGCTTTAGAACATTCTTAAAATATCTACTTCACTTCAGATTTATGCTCTGACTTCTTTGCTGAGCTTCAGGTTTTCTGTACATGCCTAGAAATACTAAAGTCCATCTAGCCTTCCTTCCCTATTTCCAAATACCTATTGTTTTTGCTTCTGTTTTTGAGGCAGTAGCAGTTGAACCCCAGGGCACTCTACCATTGAGTTATATCCCCAGCCCTTTTTATTTTTTAGTTTGAGACAGTCTTATTAAATGACCCACTCTGGCCTCAAACTTATGATCATCCTGCCTCAGCTTCCCAAGTAGCTAGGGTTATAGGTGTGTGCCACTGTGCCAGGCTTCAACTGCCTGTTTAACAACTCAATGCAGATATTCAAAAGGAGCCCAAATGCTATATGTGTTGCAATCAAATTACATTGATCTCTTCCTTCATCCCCAAACTCGCCCTTCCCCTGTATAATCCTTCTTAATATGTTTCACCGCTTATTAAAAGAAGATAGAAATCACACATATCTCTGATTCCAGCACCCCAGGAGGATGGCAAATGGCCATCTTTGCAGTTCAGGGAGACTCTGTATCCAAAACAAGTGAGAAGGCCCTGGGGTTAATCCCCAGTACTGGGGCTGTGGCAGGGAGACAAGATAGCGATCTGAGTAATCTTGGACTGCCCTTCCCTTACCTCCCATACATACTGGACAACAAATCATGCACATTCTACCTCTGAAAGGAGTTCTAGTTGCTCCATTTTTCCCTGATATTACTGTTGCTGTCTTGGCTTTTGTGTCATTCATTCTGATTATTGCAGTAGCCTCCTGCCGTCCCTCTGCACAATATCACCTATTCTTTAACTCACTGTGGCTGTGAGTTATGTATGTAAATATGCAGTCATCCGGACATGTGCTAAAAAGCCGAAGGGCTGGGGATGTAGCTCAGTGGCAGAGCTTGCCGAGTACACACAGCAACCTGGGTTCAATTGCTAGCGCTGAAAAAGGTGGAAGACAGGAAGGAGGGAGGCTTATAGGGTGCAAAGGTGGGCCTAGAGAGGCTCCCCATTGTTCTAAGAAATTCAGCCTCTGCTTTTTCCCATTGATGACCTAACCATTGATGACCATGACCACTGATGTTCTATGTCCCGTCCTGTTTCCTTCCTCAGGCCACAGAGAACTGTGTGTGCACCCTCCACAACCTCTCCTACCAGCTGGAGGCGGAGCTCCCAGAGAGATATTCCCAGAGCATCTACATCCAAAACCGGAATATCCAGACTGACAACAGCAAAAGTATCGGGTGCTTCGGTAGTCGAAGCAGGAAAGTAAAAGAGGTATATTGGGAGGTCTTGGGGTGCAGGGGGGTAGAGACAGGGAAAGAGAGTATATGTGTTTCTGCCTATTTAGTACATGTCGGGCACTGTCATAGGTTCTATTTTAGGTTCTTTTAATCCTTATATCAACCTTATATTATAGGAGAGATGTGTTACTGATACCTTCACTTACGGGTGGGGAAATAGAGGCACAGCAAACATAATTAATTTCCCTGGGTTAATTCAGCAAATACAAAAGTGGGAGGGATAGAATTCAGTCTCGGCAGTCTAGGCTCTAGATTCGCATTAGCCACTGATGCAAGCTGCTGTATGCCCTGTAGGTTTAGAAATGACCTCAATGCAGTACAGGCATTGGTGTTGACGCTGCTTAAAACATAAAAGCAGCCCTGATACCTGGCTGTGAGCATTCTAAAAACAAACCTCAGACACCCAAAGGCAAACCTCTGGGAAGGAGTATACATTCGTTTCCACACTGAAGGGAAAATGAAAAAGACAGGACCTGCCCTGTCCCTCTTAGTATCGTTTGTGTACCTGGAGAACAACTGGTAAATTCAGAACCCTGGTGCTACCCTAGAGAACTTCTCATGACTCTGAGGGATTTCCTATCTTCAGAGTAGTGGTGACTAATTTAGTTCTTAGCTTAAAAGCTACCGGGAAACCATTTTAGAAAGACCCATGCCTAACTCCACACACAGTGTCTCTTCCAGTGAAACATAAAGTGGGGAATGTGGGTTGTTGTTGGGGAGAAACAATCATTGTGGGCTAAAAAGTTAAGTAATTGGAAATTGTACATTCTGCTTTTTTAATTTCCACTTAAGCGCTTTTTATGCAAATTGTTAGCTCTTCTAGACACTGTTTGGGGTCTGCTGCGTTGGGTGCAGAACTGTGGGCATCATCTGAGGTGTAGTAAACCTGGATTTCCTCGTGTGTGTCGTTAGCAATACCAGGACGTGCCGATGCCAGAGGAAAAGAGCAACCCCAAGGGCGTGGAGTGGCTGTGGCACTCCATCGTGATTAGGATGTACCTGTCCTTGATCGCCAAGAGCGTGCGGAACTACACACAGGAAGCGTCCCTGGGAGCGCTCCAGAACCTCACGGCGGGGAGCGGCCCGGTGAGTACCCCCACTCTTTCCATTTTTTACATCATGATGTCCCAGGCACACGCGGCAGGATCAGAGACGGAGCATGAGTTACCTCACCCGGGTCAAGGCCATTCTCAGGAACTGCCAGGGAGGGTTTCGGTCGGCCGGGACTTCAGCCTCAGGTCTGTCTGGCCAGGCCAGGGTGCAAGTCAGCGCACAAGATGCTCACCCTGACTTCCTGCGCTCTGAAGGTCTCAGCATCCGACCTTCGGCTGGTTTGAAGTTGGTTTAAGGAAAGAAAAAGAGGGGTCTGCTATTTCCTGGAGGTGAGCCGTCAGGGTGGGTCCTGTCTCCCTTCTGTCGTGCTTGGCCCTAGGTGCCCTGGGGATCAGTACTACTCTCCTCCTGGGCCCAGTTTTCCCGGTTCTCCAAGATTCTGCCCTTGTGGTAACCAGGAGAGCCAGGAACTTCTTCAGGCTCACGTTTTACCAGCCCTGCACCCCACAGGACAGAGCTGTCTTCCCAGGAGCACTGCGAAGCCCGGAGCGAATGTGTCTCACTGACCTGAGCTCTTCGCCAGCGCCCGCGCAGGGAGGCTGGGATGATGCCGGGCCAGGGCCGGACGCCAGGCCAGGGCTGCGTGCGTGAGCGGGGAGGCCACGGCCCCTCCGCGCACAGCTGCGTGGTGACAGCGCGGCTCCCTCGCGGAGAGGGCAGAGCGTTCTTACCAAAAGGAGGCGGAGGGGCTGCTGAGCGGCGGAAGCAGCAGATGTGGACTCCAGGACGGGGCTGGGGAGGACGTCTGTGCACTGCGTCCTGGCAGTTCAGCTCCACAGTAGAAAGCTCTTTGCAGATGTGCTTACTTTATCGCAGCAAAGCCAAAACGTATAAAGTGCTAAATGTCTTCCATGCCATGTTACGTTTTTACGGGTGCCGTAAAGACTCATTTGACTTCAGCTCACGTTCTTTGCCTTGATCATAAAATCATTAAACTCTAAAATAGTTCATCGTATATTATCCATTCCCACCAAGCAAAATGTTCTTGTAGGGAACCAAAATACTATTCATTCTTGGAGAAACCATGTTTATTTTTAATACAAGTATTCACACAGAAGTTTGTTTTCGGTTCTGAATAACGTTATGAAAATGGTAAGACCGATATTTTCCTCACCTGAATGTCATGGTTAGGATTACAGTCAAATGTCCTCTCTCTGATTTTCTGTAGAGCGTAATTGCACACAGAGAGAAAGCAGGAAGTCCCTCCACTCAGGGAGGTTGTGGCTGAGTGGGAGGACGTGGGGTCGAGGATCACTGTGACCTCAAGAACTGGGGAGAGATGGTGAGGAAGGAGAGGAGAGGAGGGACCCTGCAGTGAAGAACCGTGCGAGCCACACTAGGACATTTGGATTCTTAGAGCAATAAAGGGTCAGTAAAGGCTTTAAACCTGAGAGGGAACACAAGGAGATTGCATTTCCGAAGGACCACGCTGGTGTAATGCTTTGAAATCCCAACCCGTGTTTGAGAAGCAGCGGGTGGTCAGGCTACATCTGAGTTCCTGGCGGAGATGAGAAGCCGTATGTTCGCAGGCAGAGCAGCCTGAAGACGTGCTGTTTGCCTTCGTGCTATTTGGTAGCCAGGAATAACAGCGGCAGAAAGGACAAAAAACAAAATTGAACCTAAGGTTGCAGCTTTGGTAGGTGGGCGAAAAATAAGCCAGAGTGACCAGATGGTGAGGCCGTGAAGGGGTGCTCGGTGCAGCGTTCCCGTTCCCCGGTGTGAGTAAGAGAGGGAAGGAGAGGGTTCACGGCTGGAGGCGGGGAGAGGGAGGGCAGGAGTTCCTGACAAAGCTGAAGAGGACACGTCGGGCGGGTGGCGGACAGCAAAGGGCACCAGAAGATCAGCCCGAAGCTGGCACTGGGGACGTCAGAGGCAGCTCTGTGTGGGTGAACAGGCCCCTGGGACCGAGAAGGGGAGGCTGATGTACACAGGAGGTGAAAGGCGGTGAGTCGGGGACGCCGGGGACGCGGAGCTCAGCGCTTCGGTCTTCGACACAGACAGCAAGAGGCAGAGGGGGCTGCGAGCCAGCTCCAGAGCCTCCAAAGCGAGTGCTGCGGGGCGCTGCGCTGACGGCGTGCAGGAGGGCAGCGCTGGGAGCCAGGACGCCGGGCACAGAGAGGGACTCAGCCTGCTGGCAAAGCGGCTCTGCAGAGTGAACAGCTTCCTCCGCAGTGAAGAGGGGAAATGCGGCTTCTCGGGGGACAGCCGTTACTGTAACAGAAGGTTCCGCCAACCACAGAAAGACGAGCTGTGATACGTTTGTGAAAGCAGTTGTGATTAAACTTGGAGCCAAGGGCACTCTGAGAGTCTGATAAAGGGTGAAGGCCATTTCCCTAGGAGCGCTGAGTATAAACAGAAGCAAGTTTTAGGGACCCCCAGCCTCACCTTGATCCTATACTAAGGACCCCACTCTGGAAGGTCGAGGGAGAGAGGAAGGAGGCAAGGACTATGCCAGGGACAGGCAGTTGGCAGTGTTTGGAGCAGCAGACAAACACCTTGAAGGATACTCAGGAATTTGGGGCCTGCTGGCCTCAAGTGGAAGTCCCGTGTAAAGTCAAAGACAGGAGTGAAGACCCCATAGTCAAGGGCCTATTGATGGCAGGAATGGGCATCTTGGTATTCAGAGCTCCCGAAAGAATCAGCCAGCCTGATTCCAGATGGGGCCTCCGATGCACAGCAGGGCTGCCAGTGCACCAGCCAGAGGTGCACTCCTTCCTCTCCCTTAACAGCCCGACCTCTCTCTTAAAATAAGCTGGGTTTTGTTTCCAAGTAAGTTCACTGAAACAGATAAAATGCCAAAACTTGAACAAGAAGAAACAGAAAAAATGTCTAAGACTTTAACCAGTACATAAACTGAGGCAACGGTCAAAGCCATCTCCCTTTAAAATCTTTTCTCGGGGCTGGGGATTTAGCTCAGCGGCAAAAGCGCCTGCTTGGCAAGCGCAAGGTCGTGAGTTCGGTTCCCGGTACCGGAGAAAAACCAAAAAAAA